TTTTTTTTCTCCGGAAAGGTGAAATGACTTATGTGAAAGATAAAAAATTCGTGAAAACGATAAATGTTTTCTTTGTTTATGAAAAAAATTGTAAATTTTACTTTCAAATTAAAAAAAATGGCGCTCTGAACGTTTCAGATGTCAAAAACTTTTGAAAAATATAGGTTTTAAGTTTCTTTTTAAAGATAATAATTATTTAATTACTTTACTTTAAATTTATTATTTAATTTTGATTATTCGAAAGGAAAAATATGTTTTACTTTGAAATCAAAAGGTAGCGACCTGAAAAATAAAGTTTCCCAAAATTTGGATTATAGTAAGCTTTGGAATCAAGAGATAGCGCCCTGGAAAATTAAATTTTCAGCAATTTTTACTGTCGCAAATTAAAATTTTGACACAAATGGTCATTTAAGACGTCAAAAACTTTTGTAATATTAAAGCTTTTTGTTTTTTTATTGTTTTTTTTTTTAAATCGAAAGATAGTGACATAAAAAGCACAATTTTTGACAATTTAAATTATTTTACTTTGAGATCAAGAGATATTGCCCTGAAAAATAAAATTTTCAGCAACTTTTACTGTCGGACATTGAAATTTAGACACAAATGGCCGTTTAAGACGTCAAAATTTTTAAAAAAATATTGGCTTTTTGTTTCTTTATTGATTTTTTTTTAAATTGAAAAATAGTGACGTAAAAAGCAAAATTTTTAATTTGGATTATTTATAAAAATATCTCAAGTTTTACTCTGAAAACAAAAGATAGCGCTCTGAAAAATAAAATTACCAAAATTTGAACTATTGCTAGTTGTAATTTGGTCACAAATGGTCGTTTAAGACGTCAAAAATAGAAGTTTTTAGTTTCTTTATAAAGATAATAATTATTGATTTTTCGTTCAAATTGTAAAATGGTCACAAAAAGCAAAATCTCTAACAATTGCACTATTACAAGCTGAATTTAGTCACAAATGAACATTTTAGATGTAAAATTGGCGTTAAAAATTATTTGAAAAAAATTAAGCTTTACTCTGAGATCAAGATAAATCGTCCTGAAAACCAAAATTTTCAACAATTTTAACTATCGCACATTGTGATTTCATCAAAAATGGCCGTTTAAAACGTAAAAAACTTTTGAAAAATGTAGACTTTTGTGTTTTACTGTTTTTTTTTTAAGGAAAAGTAGTGACAGTGTAAAGTAGTGACAAATATGCAAGATTTTTAAGAATTTGGGTTATTTTTAAAAAAATCACAAGTTTTACTCTGAAATCAAAAAATAGGGCTCTGAAATATAAAATTTAACAAAATTTAAATTATTCCAAGTTGTAATTTGGTCACAAATGGCTGTTTAAGACGTCAAAAATCTAAGTTTTTTTTTCAAATTGAAAAATAGTGACAAAAAGCAAAATCTCTAACAAACATCATTTTAGATGTAAAATAGGCGTTAAAATTATGTAATAAAAAAACAAGCTTTACTCTGAAATTGAGACATAGCACCCTGAAAAATCAAATTTTCAGCAATTTTTACAGTTCCAAATTGAAATTTAGACTCAAATGACCGTTTAAGACGTCAAAAACGTTTTGTTTCTTTATTGATTTTTTGTCAAACTAAAAAATAGTGACATAAAAGGAAAAATTTCTAATTTGGATTATTTGTAAAAAATCGCAAGTTTTGATAAAATTTCCAACAATTGGACTATCCAAAATCGTAATTTACTCACAAATGGTTCTTAAAAACGTAAAAATTTTTTGAAAAAATAGGATTTTTGTTTTTTTGTGAAGATTATTGATTTTTTCTTAAATTGAATAATTTGCAAGTTGTAATAAAAATTAAAATAAAATAAAAATTTTTGAATTTTTACCTCTGAGGGGTCACTCAGTGTGACAAGTACAAAGGTCAACATGACCCCCATGATGGACACTGAGCATTGCAACTTCAAAAAAACAACACAGGACCGTTTCAAAATCCAATGAATCGTCAAAATAATTGTACTTATCAACGCTGATAAGAAACAAATCGAGCATCCTGCCAAAACAATGTATCGCATTGGCTGTGGTTCCTCTTTTCCAACCTAAATGAAACAAAAATCAATCACTTTAGTAAAAAAAAAAAAACACCAAAAAAATACTTGAATATTATTCGCTGTCAAGAGCAGGGCGAAAGTCCCCACCGCTGGACATATACAGCGTGTCAAATTAAAACCCAAAATTTTCGTTGCACAAACACTAGTGTTCCACGAGTATGCATACATGGCCGTTTCGGCCACGGCACACTTGATAAACCATCCGTCTTTGGAGGCGTTTCGATTTCCGTGTTTCCATTCCAGGATAATATGAGGATTATAATCGCGATTTTTTACCCCTGACAGGATCCATAAGCGAACGATTTGAGATATCACCTCGTATTCCACTTCAGCCCCGTCTCTGAAACTTCGATTTAGACGAAATATTGGTGTAGGGTAACCCCGGGAGAGATGGAACACTTTTTGAGAATTTTTTTTTGGAACACCCTGTATAAATTATATAGGGTGTCCGAAAAAAAAACTTCAAATTTTCCGTGGGATGATTTCTTGGGTCAAAACAAGAAAAAAAGTCCTTATGGAGGTATGCCCGGAAACGCGTTTTAAAGGAGCTAGAGCCATAATTTGATATATGCTTTTGAAAAAAATTCAAAAATTGGTAAAAGTCAATCTTTCCCGGTTTTGCCCTATGCTTAAAGCACCTACTTGACTCGGATTACCGACCGCGAGGGTAAAAAAGCGGTCAAATTGCGGTAAATGACCACCCCAATGACGCATTGCTCTTTCGTGTTGATTTTGGTCCTGTGTGGGGCCCATTTGTGGTCACTGAAATATTTTTTTTTTAATTTAATTTTCCATGTGGGAGTGAGGATCGATACCTGACGTTGGTGGAGAGAAATGGTAATTCTTTTTGATCTCCGGACATTACATTAACGTCAAGGGTTGGAAGGGCTAAGTGGAAAAGGGGTTGGGAGGGGGAGAGGAGTGGCGCAGATATCTCGATTTGCTGACTGACGACTTCTTGCAAGAGTTTCACTTGCTGGAAATGACATTTTTTAAATTGGTTAATTCGAGTCTTTCGACATTTATTGTTCCTAATTGTGCAAATGACAATGACAATAAACGTCAAAATTACATCTAGGGACTTTAATAATAAATAAATAATAAAGTGAAATCAAAAGATAGCGCCCTGAAAAATAAAATTTTCTAAAATTTAAACTATTGCAAGTTGTAATTAGGTCACAAATGGCCGTTTAAAACGTTAAAAATATGATTTTTTGTTTTTTTTTTTATAAAAATAATTATTGAAATTGAAAAATATTTATATAAAAAGCAAAATTTCTAACAATTTGAACTATTGCAAGCTGTAATTTAGTCACAAATGATCATTTCAGATGTAAAATTTGAAAAAATCAAGTTTTACTCTGAAATCAAGTGATAGCGCCCTGAAAAATCAAGTTTTCAGCAATTTTTACTGTCGCAAATTGCAATTTCGACGCAAATGGCCGTTTAAGGCGTCAAAAACTTAAAAAAAAATTTAGGTTTTTTGTTTCTTTTTTCATTTATTTGTAAAAAAATCAGAGGTTTTACCCTGAAATCAGAAGATAGCGCCCTGAAAAATAAAATGCAAGTTGTAATTTAGTCACAAATGACCATTTTAGACAAAACAATTAAAAAAACATGTTTTTTTAATTTTAGATCTATTCAGAAATGAAAACATAGCGCCCTGATAATAAATAATAAATTTAGTGAGAATTTTTTGTGAATGTTTTGAAAACATCAGTTTATTTTTATCTGCGAATTTTGTGTTGTTTTTGATAATTTTTTCGTCACGGCTTTAATTTTAATGTAAAAATTAATGAAAACCCGAAAAATGTTTTAGTTTGTTTTATTGCAAGGTTACAAAAATCTCGGTAATAAATACTAAATAGTTCTTACACAATAGTTTTTCGGTCCATTTTCTTCAGATTTTGATGAAAAAATTTGAAGAAAATTGATTTTGTGTTAAAAAAATTTAAATATTTTTTTTTGAAAACTTTGAAACTATGAGCTGTTTTTCGGCTCTTTTAACTAAGTTTTAATTGATTCTGCTGAAAAACTGAAGAAAACTGAAAATATTTGATGATATTCTTCTCAAGAACTAAACTAGGAATCGAATAAAAAGTACAAGAAAATAATTTATGGTGTTTCAGATTTTTGCTAAACATGTTGAAGAATTATGAAGAAAATTGAAGAAATTTTGTAAAATAACTTTAATAAATTATTTTGGAAACTCTGAAATTACAAATCTTTTTCAAATTTCTCAAGCTTATTTACTCAAAAAAATTATTATTAATTATTAATTATTATAATAATTATTATATTAATTATTAAAATTATTATTTTTATTCAATTTTGCTGCAGAAAACTGAAGTTGTTTGTCAAAAATGCGAGATGTCTTTTAACTTCTTCGATCATTTTTGCTACAGAAAAACTAGATTTTATTAATCATTTTGTTGAAAAACTGAAGAAAACTGAAAATTTTTGATGATATATTCCCATCAAGGACTAAATAGTAACTAATTATTTGCTTACTATAAGGAAATTCATTTTTTTTTAATTTGCTTGAAAACTTTGAAGATATTGTTGAAATTTGGTTTAATAATGTTATTAATCTGTAAAAAAAAATTGAAAACTAAAAATAGTCGTTACAGACTTGCGTTTGCTTCAGCGAGTTTCTGCGTAAAAAACGTCAAAATTTATAAAAAAATATTTAAAATCCATCAAAAGAATTAAAAATAACGCATTTTTAAGCCACATTTTGCAGTTTTATACTTTGTTTATGCAATTTTTTTTATACTTAATAAGTTTCTCGTTGAAAACCATTCTTTAATTTATGGGAAAAATAACATGTTTTTAATCAAATTTTGGAATTTACTGCGTTTTTTTGACAAAATCTTCCGAATTTAATGATTTTTTTGTAAAAATAGCTCTAAATTTGCATAAACCTGAAAAAATAACGATCTCTAAGCAAAGTTTTAAAACAATCAACTTTTCTTCTTTTTACTTAGTTTAAACAAAATCTCAAAAAATAAGTGAGTTTCTGCGTAAAAAGCGGTCAAAATTTATAAAAAAAATCTAAATACATCAAAAGAATAAAAAATAAAGCAATTCCAGCCGTCGTTGAAAAGCACTCTTAAATTTAAAGAAAATAACATATTTTTAATAAAATTTTGCTATTTTCTGTTTTCTTGTAACGAAATCTTTTTATTTCATTAATTTCTTTGTGTAAAAATCGCTTTCAATTTACACAAACATAAAAAATAACCCATTTCCGAACTAAGTTTTTGAATAAATATTGTTTTATTTTACTTTGTTTTAACAAAATCTGAAAAAATTAGTAACTTTCTGCCACAAAAAACGTTCTAAATTGTGTTTTTTGAGCAAGAACCCTCTTAGATTTACAAAAATTACACACTTCATATAATTTTCTTTGTTTCGATCAAATCTTTGAGATTTAGTTGTTTTTTTGTTTAAACAATAATATTCGAAAATTATAAATAGTCGTTACAGACTAGCCTTTGCTTCAATTTATTAAAAAAACAAGATTTATTAATTTTTAAAAAATACATTAATCAAAGATTCCCGAAAAAACGCCTTCATAAAAAATCGTGCTTTTTTAAACAAAGTTTAAAAAAATCAAAGTTTTGGGTGGATTTGAGTGAGTGAAATACCAAATTCCCGAAAAAAACAACTTCCATACCAGTTATAAACCCAGA